AGAAAATATATCCTAGAGCCGCCACTGCTAAGAAAGTCAATTTTAGACCTGGAAGCTCCAGAGAAATTTTGTTTTTCTACATGCTCGAAAAGTGGCACTCCCAGACTAAAATGTTGAATGTAATTTTCTTTATCTCCCATTCTTTTTTAATATTGAAAAATGATGGGCTCCAGTCGGCTGCCCCTCTCCCTAATCTGCCCTATAAAACAGAGTCATATAAAATCTGACGGATACAGTAAATATCCATAATTATGTTGACTTTAGGGTAGGCCTATTTAGATTTTATATTTTTTGTGCCGTTTTAAGTTGTTTTTAACATTTGAAATGTAATCTATCTTAATGATTTATTTTGAAATTATTTTATCAATTTATTATTAAAACAAAAGTGTAGTAAAAAAAAGTAATATATATTGTTACTTATCGATTGTCTAGTTATCTGATAAAATAGAAATACATTGTTGTTACCACTGGATCGACAATTTTTTTCACTTTACATCATGTGCTTGAATCGACCTGAACTTGGTAGAAGCTACGGTACGACTTAGAACCGGCACAAAAGAAGTGCACTTAGAATTAATTAGTTGATATGAAGATATTAGCTTGAACCTGCACAAAATAAGTACACTTAAAACTACTTGTATAGCAATTATTCATAGGCCTGTTCACAGTAATATATCAACCTTTGATTTTATTTGTAAAAGTAACAACGGTTGTGAGCACTTTAATACATACATTTATATTTAAAACAAACATTAAGAAGTTATTCTATAAGAATACCAAATACATATTGTATACAATGTCAAATCAACATAATTGAAGATTATACATATTTACATGACTGTTTATATTGTTCCAGTTAATTACAATGGCATAACATGATAAAACAATGATAACAATTATGATAAAACAATTATGAAAATAATATTAGTTAATACAATGCTTATAAATGTGATTTTTATAGAAGGTAGTGATCCACTTTGAAGATGGTGGCGATTTCTTTGTAATTGATATATTTTAAACTATGTTATGTGAGAATGTAGTATATCAACGATTTTACTGTACTATTGGTGTTTTTAATAGTGGCTCTTCTCATTTTATATGAATTGTGTATTTCAAGACATTTGTTTTGCAAAAAAATTATATTGAATCTTGAATTTTGGTTAATCTTGAACAGTCACTCATCTATTAATAGATAATAATGAAAATTAGAAAATCTTGTTATGATAATAGGAGGTTGGTCACTTTGTTTTATCATAGAGAAAATAGTAGTTCTATTTTCTCCTAGGTTTTATACAGTAATCGCATTTTGATACTCGCATATGGTGACGTTCAATTCCGTAATAATTTGATAACAAGCAATCACATGAATAAGCTTAGATCGCTTGTGTTTAGTATAAAGTTAATATAGAATCATTCTGCGCGCGCTCCCAAACAAAGTTTTAATTTGCTTTAATTTCATTTTAGTATTAATGATTGAATTGTCTGAATATATATTTGATTAAATTCTTAACGTATAATAACGTGTGTATGTTTGATCTATTTGAGATTTGTGTTACGAGATGTTTTAAAGCTTCGTAGCACCGAATACGCCTAACATCTACGTTGGACATATTGATGAATATAGATAGCTACTTTCCTATCAAATTTTATTCTTCTTTTGTATTTTATTGTATTTTATTCCTTTTGGCAGGGAAATAAAAAAAAAATTGAATAAAAAATTTAAAAAAAAAAGAAAAAACCCGAAATACAGTACAAATTACAAAACAAAATATCATGGTAATAAATTACAGGAAAATTCACATCAGTGCAAATAAATAGCAAAAGCGATAGAACCAGCAACCCAAAAGTGATTGAAAGTGAAAAAAAAAAAAATGATAATGATTTTATCGTTACAGTTTCGTTTCGATTATTAAACTTTCTCCACTCATAATACATAATAAAACAATTTACATAACAATAGTCTTTTAAAATGTATTGACAATACATTAAACAAAACTTTATCATGATAATGAAAATGACATGGTGTTGGATATAAAAGGGGAAGTGGAAAACGGGTGTAACCGCTTTCATGGAACTTTCCGCCAAGCCCTCGTTGTTGCTGAGGTCCCACAAAATGACAGTTTTCAAATTTTTGGTTTTTTTTTTCTGTGATCTTGATCGGGATGTAAAAGCATACGAAAACACGTGCAGTTGTGGGGCAACACGTGTGTTTGTAGAACACGCGCGCGTATTGTTAGCCCTATTGTGATTGGTCAGTTGTTAAGTTTGATTGACACTCTTGGAATGTTTATTGACGTATACACACACAAAAAAAAAAAACCTGCTGCTGCGCTCTATAAATTTCGTTTGAGCTTAACATTTTATTGAACTACACTGTTGTACTTTTATAACCATACTGAAATTTCTAATTGGAAACTGTGGATTATCGTTATCCAAGAACGCTCTTCGATAATATGATATTTTCAATATTTTCTTTACTAATTCATTTTTTTTCTCAATTAACTCGATTTTTTCGTTGACATCTGTATTATTTATATTTTTTTCTTAACAACAATTTATTGTTATTTTATGTATAGAGTTACCTTTTTACAAGTTTTAGTGTTTAACGTTTAAAAACATTTATAATCTTTACCTATGCAATTCGGGATTCGCCGCTAAACAGAAGTGTCTTGACCCTGTCCCTCCACTGGCAGCTTTATCTCAATGTAATTTTATTGTATATTTACCAGTGTGACGTTGAATAAATAAAATAAATAAATACCGTACATGAAGTAAGGGCTCTGTCCATATTATAATTATTTTTAATTAATTAATTTTTTAAAATTTTTTCTTTACCTGTCCTTGATGACCTGATCAAATGCAAAAAGCATCGTTATCCTCCAGGGCCCAGCAATTAAATTCTTTTTGACAAAAAAATGTTGTATACCATGGATAGTCATGATGTGCCTATATACGGTCATGATGTGAGGTCATATAAATCCAGAATTATTATTATTATTATTATTATTATTATTATTATTATTATTATATTTAGGCATGTCACATGTTTTTGTCAAAATTGCGAGTTTAAAGTTTGTTTGGAAAAGTTATATTTTTAGAGGGCGCTATCCTACTTTAAGAAAATCAATCAAAATGTTTTGATAATCCATCATGACTCCAGTTCTTCGCGAGTTGGTGGAAGCGCGATTGGAAATGGTATTTGAAATCTTGTACGTTTTTATTTGTTATGGATTACGCCGGGGATGGTACTCTTAAAGGTAGGTGAGATACAGTATAGTACGTCTTTTTCATTTCAGGTGGGATGATTTGCCAAAATTTTGTTATTCCGTAAGTCGTTTTCTTACCACACGATTAGGCTAGGCCCAGCACTGCGTGAGGCGGATCCAAGCGGTGGAGGCCAAGCAAGGTCTTTTATTAAAATACCTACACGAATGATACGGTTATTAGGGTTGTCCTGAGTGAGGATAGGGGGCTAGGCTTGTAAATTTCCAGTAATTTAGCAGATGCCAAGGAGGGTTTACGATGTTATTTGTGTAGGCTAAATATGAAAATTGTTGATCATCAATGTCACTCTTCAACTACATGTGTCATGTCTGGTGAAAGATGGCATGACTTTTTTTACTTAAACAACCAAAATTAATTTATTCCAAGTGTACTGTAGGCGTAGGCCTACCCATAGGCTAGGCCCTAGGCTAGGCCTAGGGCTACAGTAGTAGGCCTAGTCCTAGGGTAGGCTAGCCTAGGTAGGCCTGAAACTTTTGACAAGAAACAAGTTTTTGCCTTTATTAAGTAGGATCCTACTGATGTACGCTGGTCTTAATGATATAGTACTTAAGTATAGGCCTAACTAAGTGCTGTAATGAGCTTGCTGTAGGCTAGGCCTTAGGTGTTCTTAGTAACAATAGGGGCAGTTGCTATACTGAGTCTCTATGTACAGTAGGCTGGCTAATGTATGCTCAGGGGAACTCATTCTCCCCCTAAAAAAGAGTCCCCCTTTTGCTGATTCCTGTTTAGTTGTTTAGTTTTACCGAAGTAAGTCCTGTGCAATTGCGACTGAAGTCTTGAATGGCTAATGTACAAGGATCAATCAGGGTTAAAGCTGGCCAAAAAACTAATTTAGCAATTTGGCTAATTCGGTATAAAAATAATTTAACCAAATAGAATATAAATTTTGATACCGACCAGCATACAGTAGGCCTGGACTCCCAACCTTGAGGTCGGGGGTTCGAAACTCAGGCTGTGCAAATCGCTTATGTCCTTGGGCAAGGCACTTTATCTACGGTTGCCTCTCTCCACCCAGGAGTACAAGTGGGTACCTGGTAGGTTCCAACACAACCTGCGCTGATTAAAGCTGCAATATTATGGAATGATAATATAATTTCATTTACTAAATTTAATTTGGTGTTCAATGCATTCCATATGTGTTTGATCCAATGACCGGGGTAGTAATGTGAAGCGCTTAGAGGTCTTGTAAAGGCATGAAGCGCTATATAAGAACGACATATTATTATTTTTTTATATTATATATATTTTTAAATATCTGTTAATTGACAAAAAAAAAATTTCCTAGAAAAAAATGAATTTTTTACTAATTAATGTACAACCTGTAAGGGCAATAAACAATTTTTTTTAAATAATTTTTTTTCTATTCATTCAACAAAAACTTGATCTTACACAGCTGCAACGCAATACCGTGTTAGTCATGACCCGTCGGTGACCCAAATTGACCTCTTGGTTGGTTTGATCGCTCGTCTGCGGAAAATTTGGGACGAAGAAAAAAATTAAACCAATAAGATGACATATGGTATGATAAGATCATACCATACTTTTTTCATACTTTCGTGGTGTGTTGTTTTTTTCTATCGCAGCATGCGCTGTAGCTTGCAAGAAGTAAGGTCAGATTCAACTTCCGTTGGTGACCGTCATTTAGGCTCCACCCACCTGCCGATGCTCGCATTACCATGTTTTTATTAGCTGCACTTTTTCACTAGAAACGTGTTCCGAAGGAATTTAACCGTTTATTAAAAAAACACGTGTTTTTGGCGTTATTCAGCAGAAACACGCCCACTGTCATTGAAGACACCAGCCTTAAAAATAAAATGAAAATTAATTTTTAAATTTAACTGAAAAAAAAAAAGATATTTATCACAGATAAAAAAAAAATCAGAAAATTCAATGACTTTACATTTTATTTTATAATACTTTTTGCTGTATCCTCCAACACGTTGTACAGTAGGCCAAATCTGACAGAGTGTCATACACAGCCTGACGCAATTTACCATTGAGGACGTCATGAGAATATTGACTACAGAAATGCAGAGATATTTATTGTTTTTCTTTTCTTTCAACAACAAAAACTTTTAGACAATCATCATAAACATATATTTCATCGCTGAAATATTCAAACTACACAAAAATAATGAAATTATTATGCTAAACAGCGTCCCAACAGATTTTCTTTATTGTATAGGTTGTCCTTTATAGCTTTTTTATTATATATTTTAGCTTTGATAATCTTCAATAAAACTCATTCAATGGCTGTTCTTCAGTATATGTGTTGTATTAACAGCACACTTTGTTATTATTGTGTGAACCATGTATACAATGTTTGCTGAAGACTTTAATGAATAATAGGTCGTCAACTTGCAATCTGTTGACTAAGCACTTGACTGGCCGTGCTTTGCGGAGTGCGCCACATTACCATGGATTCAGGGAACACAATGCCTGGAACTCACTCAAATCATACAGAAATTTTTTTTTTTTTATTTGATATTAAGGTGTCTGCTTTTTCTGACCACTCTTCAGGTTTTGTTACAAGTTTTTACACATACATGTACAGTATCCCATGGTTATATCACGAATGAGTCAGTCAGTCATTCTGCCATATTGTCGTTCTACTCTATACTCTGCAATCAAACCATTTGATTGTACAAGTCAGTAAATTCCTGAAATCATCACCATACATGTATCCATTAAGTCAATTAAAAAAAAAAGATATTTTTTAATCTGAATGGTTAAATACAACAAATACTGAGCTACAGGCATGGTTTTTGGCTAGGTTTATCAGGTCTAAGCTTGAGGCAATACAATAAAAAATGAATTTTAATGTTAAAGTTTAATTACAACTAAAAACAAACTATAATTAATTATTCCAGATAGAAAGCATGTTTCTTCAGATTTCTTTGTTTAGAATCTTGTATATAAAATTAGAAAAAAAATTAGTGTCTTTTTTGAGCTACATGTGAACATACCATAAAACCTTAAACAGAAGCCCCAGGGGCTTAATTTGGAAAAAAACACATCTCGAAAAGAAGCCTCCTCTTTTTAGTTTGTCAAAGAAAAGAAAAGAAGCCTACAGTTCAGACAGACATTATGTTTGATTGTAATTATGATTATGATAGTGTGTGAGTATTAATATCATTTTAATTTACTAGCATAAAATGTAAAAAATTTTAAACCATAGTTGAAAAATTTGTGTATTTTGTAGCAATACCAAATATTTACAGCATGCATTCAATTTGAAAATTACTTTGGAAAAATAATCTCAAAAAGAATCCTACAGCATCTCAAAAAGAAAACCCATCCAAGGGTCCTAAAAAAAAGGAAGAAGCCAAGGTCTTCTATTCAAGGTTTTAGGCCCCATAAAATAAATTATTAGTTTATCACCCTATCTAATGTAGGCTCGAAAAGTGATGAGGGAGGGAGGCTTTTGATTTTATTTTTTATTTTGCTAAAAGCCAATATTACTTATGGGTTGTTTGCTGGTGCATTGATATTCAAAGTTATGATTGAGATAGGACAAACAATATCTACTAACTATTTACAAAAAAAAAAAAAAAAAAAAAAAATTTTTTCTTTTTTCAAAAAATAATTATTTATGCAATACCATAGAAGACATGCGCATGAGGGTGAATAGATAATATTTTTTAAATATTAGGCCTTACTGCATTTTTTTTAAAACAGTAAACTGTGGGCACGTTCTACAGTATATTACATCATTATAATTTAAAGACTATCATGTACACTGTATCTACTTCTAGTGCTTGATAAGGTGCTTAAATATAGAGGTCAGAAAACCAAACAGAACCGTCTGATTAATCCATAGGTCACTTAAATGCTTTAACAGAACTATAACAGCATTTTACTGACCACCATTTAGGAGAAATATTTTCTCAGAAATATTTTATCATTTCTCATTTTTCAATACCAACCTAGTCGTTCCTTGAATATCCATCTAAAAAATTAATTGTCAATATTCAATCAAGACCAACTTTTCAAATTCCACAGCTGACAAAGGCGTCTTTGCTGCTGCACCATGTTTTTAGAATAAGCTCTCTCATCAGGGACATGTACAGTAGATATGGTGGATGGAGGTGGGCAGTTTATCAATGTTATCACCCACCCACTCTTAAAACCATAGTGTATATAGAGGACACAGGGTGACCCTTCCAGTATATTGTAAAAGGCCAGCTGACATTCGGGAGCCCTCTTAAATAATTGAAATAATGTCCTCTTTATAAGGCTTGTTTAAAAGGGGTGGAGTTCTAAGTTGTGAGTAAAGTCCTGCCTAGGATTAGGAGGCAAGCATCTATAAGGCCCAATAAAAAAAATTATTTGCTTTTTTTTTCAATATAGTTTTTGTTTTTACTATGTCAATGATGTTTTTCTTTAAATATCAATGCGGCACCAGTAAACGACCCATGGGTGATATGAAAACCAAACTATTTAACTCTACTCCATATTCTACAGTACAATATAGTTTCAGCTACAGGTACTGGCTGCTTGATTATGTTGAATGCATACTGTACTTCCCAGACACTTTTGATAGACTGACATGCACTGTAGCAGATCATTTAATGCAATATGCATGCAATAATTAAGAGTGGCTTTCTTCGTTATCAAGTGCCAGTACAAATTGTAAATGAGTGTCTCTATAGATAAGTGTACTCCATCATAGTCAATATTACACAGTTACTGAGAGCTTATAATGTTGACATTGCTCCAGGGCATACATCAGAAGAATGAATTCTTGACTAATTATGTAAACAAATGTTGGATTGTGCTATACTATCATCATTTATCAACATTATCCAATCATGAATGAATTTCATCTAAAATTAGAGAAGTTTTTGGTAACATATATATATATATATTCCTCAATGATGGATACCTGACTTTTCAGTTCTGGTTCTACAGTAAACTTCAGTTACAATGAATTTTACTTTAACTGCTTTTAAATTGTTTTATGTTTTAGGAGTTCTGTGCTCTATGGATCATTGAAGGCCATGATGTGTTTACCAAACGTTGGAGTTTACATCCATCATCATGCTGGTAATAGCATACAGGTAGCTTTGGTGAGTGCAAAGTACAAATAAAATCAGTTATGCAATTAGAAGTCTTGTATTATGTGATACATTCACTTAATGGTTTTTAGATAGCATGCCATTAATCTTCAAAGTTATTATGTCATGGCTTAGTAAAAATAATTTAATTTTTGAATGAATTTGTGTCCTTCCAAAGCATATTTTGGTGATTTTTCTTTGTTGTGAAGGGTTTATTTACTGTAGACTGAAAGTGTATTGTTTTTTTATGTTTTTTTTTTTTTTTTTGCAGGTAGTGAATAATGAGTGAATTAGCTGGACATGGAGGACATACCTTTAGTCCTCCAGAATACAGACTTCATTCCAAGTCAGCAAGCAAAGAACTCTTTGAAGATCAACCTGATAAAGATGTCTTCAAACATCCCAGAGTTCCTTTCAAAACTGCTGCCAGAGAACTCTTCAAAGATGAGCCAGAATTTTCTAGCAAACCAAGAACTTCACATCACATTTCCAAAAGAAAATGTCAACAAGAAAATGTTGGTATTCCTTTAAAGATAGAAGATGCACAAAAGAGAAAGTTGATAACTTCTAGATACAACACACCTCTTAAGACAGAATCTGTATCATCACTTGATTCATTAGAACTTGAGAATCTAAGTGATTTTTCCTCTTACTTATCAAGATCTTCTAAAAGTGATCTTCATAGTGAATTTGATGACTGTAAATTTGATTCAGAAACTCTGCATTTGGAAAGAAGTTATGGTAGAAGTGAAGACAGTCGCCCATCATCCTACAATGATGTTAGTCAAAGAAGAAGCCATTTTCATAAACCATCAATATCAATCGAAAGTCATGAATCAAATGGAAGATGGACTCTGCCATCTGGTGTTAAAACATCTAAAAGAGTTGGTTCTAATTCTGTAAGATCAGCTGCCTCCTCTCCCTACCATCATGATAATGTCAGTACTAAAGCGTCTTTTCAAAGAAGTTCACGCAATAATGAAAGATTGAGCTTGAGAACAAATTCAATGGAACATAGTCTAACAATAATTGGGAACCGTTCAATGGATTCCAAACAAGAAAGCTACTTTCGAACAGATTTAAAGAAACTCTACAAATTAGGCCATGTTAAGAAACATGATCGGCTCCACCAGGAATGGATGAGGCAGGAGAATGCTCCCTCTCTTTCTAGCTCACTTCCATTGACATTAAAAGAACTCTTCTATGATAATCAGCACCAATCAATAAGGACTCCCGGTGATCCTCAGTCCTTAGGAGGTTCATGCTCTGACAACTATTCTAGGTTTAATTCCAGTAAATTAGTAACTTCTAGGTCAGTGCAAAAGCCAAGCACCTATCATAATACGGATCCATTCCTTCCGGACTATTCCCAACAACTGCAGAATCTTTTAGTAGAAGATATTGATACCACTAGCAGATTAATTTCAGGTGAAAGTCCATCACCGAGATCGAAACTCAGGCACCTCCTACACAGGGTAAGTTACAAAATGATCAGAGTAATAATCTGTAGCAATCAGTATTGAAACGTTGAAAATACTGTATATTTGGATGAGATAATGTAACAACATTTAATAGATAATATAATTAGCATGAAAACATGTTGAGTAGGGCTCCAGCTTTAAGGAGTTGTTCATTATCGTACGTTTAGGATGTGTGAGTAGACACATTAGTACACTTTTACGTGCATGAAAATTTTGATTCAAAATAATATGTAATATTTAAAATGATGTTTATGGCCTATTATGGTGCATCCATGGATATAATTAGGGCTTTTTTATGTAACCACATAGTTTAATTGACATCACATTTTTTTTATGTACACTTTCAGTGGGGAGTGAAAAAGAGTACTGTCTGTACACTTTTGAAAATGTTGATAATTGTGAATGACCTTTAGTCATGATTATGCTTGTTTTTTCTAAGGATTTTCTTTTAAATTTTAACAATTCTCAATTGTATTTTGATCAATGTTTTAATGTGCTGTATTGTTGTGTTGGTTACCTCATGATTTTGTACATGGGTGACTAAAATTCAGCTGTTTGATTTCTTTTAATTTTGAATGTAGGAATGTTGACTGTTCATAAGGAAATCAAATTCAGTTAGTACCTGTATTAATAATTCCTTTCTTTCTTAATAGAGTGATGATACTGATAACTTACAGTCAAGCATGGTTCAGATGTCACCGAACACATCTCCAAAGGGATTTATCGCAAGGTAAGTTTGATTGTCCAAAGTAATCTCCTGAACTCTGATAAAAATGTCATTAGCGCAAATCATCAGCGTATTGATCAATTTTATCTACATGTAGTTTAAAATTTGTTTGATTATTTCTGATTTTGAGTCCTTACTAGTGGCACTCCTAACAAGGAGGGGTGTTCACCCCCACATGCTATTCCCCAACCTTAAAGTATTTTAATTTCTTATTTTACTGCACAGTATCACAGTTGTATTTATAATTGCTTTTCTTTCATAGAGCAGTTGACTAAGACCATGGAGAGAGGCCACCGACCCGATTTTTTTATTTTTTTATTTTTTTTAATTTTTTTTTTTTAAACTAAACACTCACATACTCCATTATATATCGGTTTGTTTACCACCTGTCTGCATGCTAGCCAGGCCACTTGCAGTTCTATGCTCTACTGTTGTTCTATATTGTAGCCACATTGCATTAATGATGTCTGTTGTGTTGGAGTGAATTGCGCGTGATAAAGAATATTGCATTATGACTGTTATTCATAAGTAAAGTTTCTGCTTGCTCTTTATGCAATTTTGGTCTCTGTTGTAAATGTTCTTCTTTGTTTTGATGTTTTTCCTTGCGACACATTTTTTCCATGTTTGTCAAGAAAAAAAAAAAAGAAAAAAACCTCCCTCCCTACCATGAAAATTGATAACATAAGGATGCTAACCAATTTTTTTTTATTTTACATGGTCAAATCATTAAATTTTTTTAGTGCTTCATAAAATATTTGGATGTTGTTTACTGTAGCTGCTTAGTACAGTAGGGGTACGATTTTGGCCATAGTGACTCTATTCGTTGATTTACGATCTTGAGGATGGAGCATTACAGGGTGAGAGGTCAATGTTTGTTACTATAGCAATAGCATTGTTTATACATTTGTTTGTGCACTCCAGGAGATTCCAGACTTTTAGTACCTTTGAATCATTGTGATTTGAAGTTAATGAATTTCAATTCTATTCAATATTTATTTGCTCCAAAAGCCATCAATGGGCCATTATGGGAATATTTACAAGAAACAAATTCAAGGTTAATTTACATTATTTGTTTACTCTAAACTTTATTGAGTTATTGGAGCTATTAATGGTAGGCCTGCATGTTTTATTAATTTTTATTAGCATATCAGGACAGGATTAACCAATCTGGCTTTGTAACTCAAAATTATTTTTAACAAGGTGTTTTTTTAAGGATTTGCTTCTGTTGTATGAAGATAAATTATAATTTGTTAATATAGTCCACTGTCCTATTTGAAATTAATTTTTCATTGGCATACCATATAATAGTGAAAAAATAAGTTTATTACAAATCAAACATTGTGCCTGGTCATAAGTACTGTAAAGTAAGAAAATTGGCCAGACCCCTCTAAGTGTTGTCTTTCGATCGCTGCCCCGACCACCCCCTCCCCTTCAGGGCCCCTGCTGAAGAAGTACAGTAGCTAAGTACCTATAATTTATATTTTAATTTAATTAATTTTTTTTAAACATTTCCTACTCATTCTAATACAAAATATTAGACACTAGCCCAAAATATTCCTTTGCATTGCATTGTGTGCATATTTATACTGCTGAAGTGATATAGTGAGACTGTCAGTTGACATGCCTTTGAATTTGAGCATTCAGATAGTGTTTGCCTAGATCTTGATCTTATTGTAAAACTAATTTATTGAGCAGGCCATGGAGATTTTATGCTGAAACAACTAAAAACCTTTGGTTCTAATAGCTATGTTGATTGATTGACACACTTTAAATGTACAGTTGATGTTTACTGTGTCTGTAAACCAACACGACATACTCAACACAATGATTTTAGGTAAATACGAACAATTTCTATACAACTCAATGCTTGTAAGCCCCATTCAACTAGTCAAGCATGTATCATGTGTCAAAGAGTTTATTTCCCAAGAGTTGGATTCAAAAAAATGTGATGGCTCTACAGTGTAAGGTACCTTAGATCCCTGTGTAACACAAACAAATTGTAGGCCTACTGTACAGCACTGTATTTGTACCAACTTGAAACTGCATGGAGAATCACTAGTAAAAAGCATTTCAGTTACCATTGGACTTTTCAAGAACCTTTCAAGAATATTCAGAATCATAATTACTGTTGCGTATTGCAAATTATGGATTTCTAGGCCTAAATTTTTTAGAGGGGAGGATGTATCTCCTGTGTACAGTAGGCTCATTTGCAATCTACATTGCATATTTGCGCAAAAGTTGTCCTACTTAAAAATAACTTTAAAAGAATTTTAAAGAAAATTGCGTCATTTACAGCTGTATAAAAAAAAAAAAATTAGTTTATCACCCCCGCCCGCATGTCTTCTATGGTATTGAAAAAAATCAAATTTAAAAAAAAATTGTTTTTGAATAAAAAAATTGAATTTTTTTTTTTCATTTCATTTCTTTAAAAAATTTGTTAGTGGACATTGATAGTATTATCTCAATCATGTATCTTTAATGCTTCAAATAACAATGCACCAGCAAACAACCCAATAGTGATATTTGACTTTGGCTTGAAATAAAAAATTTAAAGCCTCCCTCCATCATTCCTTTTCTAGCCTCAGATTAGGTGATGATAAGCTATGATTTTTTTTTTATTGGGCCAAAAAAAAAAAAAATGTTAAGAATTTGAGTGAATTGATTATTTATAAATCAATAAATGTTTTCTGTAATATACTAGGCTGATTATGTATACAGTTTATTTTGTCCACTCAGAAGTTGATTCTTGTACAATAACAATCACCCCGCTGTGATAACGACAACTGTGCAATTGAGAAATCCTATATAGTGTATCACTCCTTTCTACACATTAGCTCATCTCTAATTATACCACTTTAAAATATAATCAGGGAAAATTCTGATTGCAGTTTGTGTTTTATGTTTGCATCTGTTTTTAAGTACAGTACTTTTACCGCAAGTTTATTCTATTAGGATTATATTTATTAATGCAGGCTTACTGCAGATGTTGGTGAATACTTTTCAAACTAGTGTTTTATCTGTGCCGTGACCTTGAGTCGAACATCATTGTGAGACTTGCATGCTTGAGACAAAAATTATTGGTCAAATGAAGTACAATTTCGTCATTTGTGTGTTGTTATGAAAGTGTTTATCGTGGTGTGATTACTGTGAGATTTTAATCCTGTTCTTATTTAATACCTTCTTAGTTCTATTCATTATGAAAAACACAGTTAAATTTTGGCATACAGTATAGCAGGGCAAAAATCTAAAATGGTTTAAAAACATGATATTGTGCATGGTTTGAGTAGATACGTTGACTGTATGTAGGATTTTAAGCTTAAAAATAGTTATTTGGCATTTTTCAGACACGCAGACTCTTACATTTCAAAGCGGTCTGGATGAACTATTAGTTGATACAACAATACAATTTCATTATCCTTTTACTATATTTGTTAAAAATTATAAATATTGACATTACAGATTTACTGTATATTATTAATATTATTGTTTTGTTTGTTTTTGTTAACATTATAGTTTCTCATAGTTGGTCTAGTTTTGGTGTGATAGTAGTTGTATAGAATCTATAGATAACACATATTACTATTAGAGTGACAGAATCATAAATCTGCACTTCAACAGGCCTCAATTTTGTATTTATCCTGGTTTTTAGTGAGATAACACCGCTTTCCTTTCAATATAATAACTAATAATAATAATATGTTGGTGTTATATAGCGTTTAATGCGTAAAGCCTCTAAGCGCTTCACATTTCTACCTCGGTCATTGGATCAAACACGTATGGAACACATACTATACTCAGCTCCCTGGGGAGAATTCCATAATATTGCAGCTAGTAATCAGCACAGTTGTGTTCCAAACTACCAGGTACCCACTTGTACTCCTGGGTGGAGAGAGGCAACCGTAGATAAAGTGACTTGCCCAAGGACACAAGTGGTTTGCACAGCGAGAGTTTCGAACCCCAGACTTCAAGGTTGGGAGTCCAAGCCACAACCGATGCGCCAACCACTTCTACAACTGTAATTCTTCATTAGCAAATTGGATAATATTCTGTAGGGGTGTTTCAGTTGAGTAATCAAGCTGATTCAAGAAGGTCTACAGTTTTTAATTGCTGGCAACTAGATGGGAAGAAGAGTCCAATGGTAATTCCAAGGAAAAGGACAAACACATTAGTTAGAGTAGGGATAATTGATTAAATCTGCATACTGTGTTGTAGGAAACACAGATTGAAATTTTATTCACTTTGCATAAGAACCATTACATGAAGTATGAATTTCAAAATTAAAAAAAAAAGGTGTTTAAAATTGTAGAAGTACAGTATGTAAAAGAAATCTAAACCTGCAGTATTTTTACTTTTTTCCCTTTTAAAACAAAGACCGATTTAACTTTCCAAGTCGCGTATAGACAGAGCACAGTTGGGGAACCAGAGATTCTCTTATGTGGGGTCCAAGGTTCTCAGTGGGGGTGGGGGTCCAAATTTTCAAAAAAGAGGTACTGATGCCCAACAAGGGTCCAAACCCATCTCCAATCATCACCACATGGTTGGAGCAATAAAAATAGACACTTCAGATACCTCCTGAAAGGGATGCACTCTAAAATTAAAATTTTTTTTTTTCAAAACAGTCACAGTGTCCTGTGTGTTACCACTGTATAGACACAGCACTATTTTTCAATAGGGTGAACTTTTAATCTTGGGCCGCCTAATTTTTTTTTTTTTTTTTTTTCTGTGGGGGGGGGGGGGGGGGGGATGGGGCGTTTATTCGCGGGGCCTTTGTTCAAAGCAGGTCGTTTATTTGAATAAATACTGTGAAATTATTGGGTTTTTCTTAAAACATGGTGGATCACAGGATGTTAGCCCATGAATTAATTATTATTAGTCATTTATGCATTTTAAATTGTGTTTGGTTTCATGTTTTTTAATTATCTTTGCTAGTTATTTTTATTTTGTGAAAAGTAAATAAGGTCCTCTCTCCACGCATGGGGCGAATGGGCAGTGTGAGTGAAATG